TTTTTTTTTTTTTTTTATTTCGGGTTTCAGCTGGGAAAGCAGCCACCTCGCGCGGCCTGCCCCGAGCACGCCGGGAGCCAGGCACAATGGGGGGAACCCTGCTCCGCAGGCAAGAAGGGCTCCAAATCATTGGAGAGACATATTCATTATATTCTTTCACTGGGGGTCTGTTTGCGTTGGGTTTAGCGGTTTACTTCCCAGACGGGGTTCAGGCCAAATAAAGATCGTTTAGCGGCGAGGGATTCGCTGGGGCTTTGAGGGAAATGTGCCTGATGTGGGGCACGGCGCGGCCCGGCCGCTTGCCTCTGGGCTGCTCCCGCTTCCCCGCTGGTTTGCCCGGGTTTTATTTCATCCCCCTTTTGCCTCCTCCGTCCCGAGACTGCAGCACCAAACCACACGGCTCACTTTTGCAAAAAAAGGGAGAGTTTATTTTCAACAGCACACGGGGGCAAAGGGGAATTTTAATGAGAGAGAATTACAGGCGGTACGTTTCTCTTACAGGAATGGCGAGGGGGGGATCAAACAGCATCAGGGCCGCCTGGTCCGGACAGACTCAGGGGCTGGGATGTGAGCACGGCGCCGTCGGGACGGCCACGCTCCTGCAGCTCCACACACCCAGGGCCAAGCTCTGCTCCATGAGCAAAGCCTGGTCCTAAAAGCTCCCTCCCACCGTCACGCACCCGGTGTTTTGCCAGGTGAGAACAGTGGCTCGCTCAGATCCCCTTCCCCAAGCCCCATGGTCCTGCTCTGGGGTATTTAGGGCACTGGAGACAACGTACAGGAGTGATGTGGGGTGATCCCCTGGCTCCCTGGGCTGCCCCGGCTCCCTCCCCATGGATGGACCGAGGTGACTCGAAGCGATGCAGAAACCCTCTGTGTTCATGAGCCAAAGCCGCCTCCTCTGCGGGGCCACCGGCGAAGCAGGATGGGACCCTCCTGGAGAAACCTGGAGACATCAGATGACAAGTTGGGGCAGGTGGTAGCCAACTGCAAGAAGGAACTCAGAGGCTTGAGGAGTCCCTTCTCCGCTCGCTGGGATCTAGGAAGGAAAGGAAAAAAAAATGGAGCGGTTACAATCTCAGGCAGGGAAATGGTCCAATAGTGCTCAGCTGAGAACAGACCAACTCAGCTCACCGAGGGAGCAAAACTCCAACCCTCTTTCCCTCCTCACATCTCCCACAGCTCCAGGACACCTTACCCACTTCCCCAAGATGCCGAGCTCCCCCTCGCCCGCCTCATTTCCCCACCTCTGCCTGCCCCGCACACCGCCAGCCAGGGGAGGGCTTGCTGCTTGTCCTTCCTCCCTAGGCTTTGGGGCATGGGATTACTCTGCATGTCAGAGCCACTAAAGGCACAGCCCTCTGATGTTTTAATCTTCGTGTTAACTTTCCCTGCCCTCGGCGCCCTTGCCTGGCTGGAGAAAGTGATACCAAGCCACCGAGCTGGAGCCGAAGCTGTGACGGGCTGCAAAAGTCCCCTTCTCGGCTTTCCCCGCGCCTCCCGGGGTTTGCCCCACACATCTTGCTCCTTGCAGGAGGTTCTCCTCCCTTCTTCCTGATTTTTTTCTCTATTTCCTTTGCACTCTCCCCACGGCGAGCACGGATCCCCCAGCACAGCCTCCAAACCCGCTCCCAACCCTTTGCCGTCCTCCCTTGGCTTCGCCTATAAACTGTTTTGCTGGAAGGAGTAAAGCCTAATACCGCTAATTCTTGAATACACTTGGACCCAGAGTGCAAAAGGAACCATCAGCTGGCTAATTTATTCTTTTTATTGCACCAAATTGTAATTTTATAAAATATCGCAAATTTTATAAAATATTTGCAAGCCCATTTTAAGAGATAAATCTTGTGTGTGGCTCTCTAATGAGCCGCCCTGGGAGCAGCCGGCATGTGATGTGCTGTAGGTCGCAGCGCGACGTTCCTGGGCTGCGACTGGATGAACCACCGTCACTCTTTGAACTGTGCAAATACTCGACGCTCTAGGGTCCAGGCTGCAATTTTCATGGGTATTTTTTCTCTCTCTTAAAAATAGATCTTCTGTAACCCCTTTATTGCAATATTCATAAAGCACTTGATGGAAATCCGAGGAAAATCCCTTCCCTTTTGCAACTTTGAAGCGATGCTGAAACTTAAAGAGAGGCAGGAGCCAAAACCCACCCCACGTGCATGAGTTTGGGGAAGGAGCACAGAGTGTCTCTGGAGAACCAGGGTGCAAAGAGGACACTAGTGTGTGTAGGGGGACCCAGGCTGCAAGAAGCCAAAGCTCAGCACCGTTTTATCTCACTTTAGGAGTCACCCCCAATGCACCCCCCCACTAAGGCTAGTGAGGATGCTGAGGTCAGGGCAGATGGGAGCTCAAAGGCAGTGGGTGCTTTCCCAAGTCCAGGAGAGGAGGAGGAGGAGGCTGAGCCTTTGTGCTCACCAGGAAAAAACCCTTGCAGGGTAAAGACCCCTACCCTGGGCAGCGACAGCCCCTGCCCTCCACCCGGGCAGGCTGAGCTTGCTACGACCTACAGAGAAGCTCATCTTGGTGCAGATGGAGAAGATGCTCGTTGTTACGAGACACCGACCCACTCTGGAAATGATGCCCAGCCTGCCTGCTGGGTTTGCACCTTCCAGAACTTTGTAACTGGGGGCAGGAGGGGCTGGACCGACCCAGATGATTTGACATAAGCTTCAGGAGAGCCCAAACCTCACGCTTTTCACCCAGAGTTCAGTCAAGCCTTCTGAGTCCCTGCAAAAATAGGGCTACACCAGGACCTGATCAATCGAGTCCAACGCTGCCTTCCCTCCCCAGTGCCCTGAGCAGGGAAAGCATCCCACAAAGCAGACTGTGGATTCATTATCCCTCTCTTTTTTTTTTTTTTTAAAAGATGCATAAATAATTGCAATTACAGCTCAGCCTGTGCCCCAGCACTTGCTCCTGTGCCTCCCTGTGCCCTTACAAAGCCAGCACTGAGGTTTACACGCTGACAAACTGCCCCGCCAAGGCTATTCCAGGCAGTGGGAAGGGCAAAAAAAAAAAAAACCACAAACCTCAAATAATGGCAAATGGATGCAGGACGCTCTGCCTAATCAGATTCCTATCCCCTATTGAGGCTGGGAAGGAGGGACCCCGCTCCTCCCCTGCCCTCAGCCCAGCCTCCGCTTCACCGGCTCACACGGAGAAACTTTCTGGACAATTTAATCTCGACAGGGTGTTACTTAGAAAAACCTTTTTCACTGTCAATTTTTTCCCCCCCTCCCTTCCTCCCC